CCTCCAGACCACACGTATTTTTGGCTACTCGTCAAAAGTTGCTAAAGCTCGGATGGGATGTCTTACCACACCCCTCATATAGTCCAGACATAGCACCATCAGAATACCACTTGTTTGGAATTCTGCAAAAACCTTTGAATGGAAAATCGTTCAATTCGCTGGAGGACTGCAAAAAGCACCTGAGAGGGTATTTCGATTTTAAGTCTGGAACCTTCTATGGAAGAGGGGATCTGGAACCTACAGGAAGATGGCGAATCCTTACTGAACAGAATGGGGGATATATTGTTCAATCAATGGACTCCTTCTTCTAGGAATTTTCATTCAAGGATGAATCAAAAATCGGCGGGAATTTTTCGGACAACCCAATAGATTGATCGTTTTTCCTCGTTTTCTTTTTCAACTTGTATTCGTGTTATAAGTCGTGTCATAGCTAATTTTTTCGAAAGATAGATGTATCATTCGATTCATCTAGTCGAGTCCTACGAGGTGATACTCTAGGAACAAACAAGGCCCGTACCAAAAGAATACTGACATAACTCCTGAGTTTGAATACTGACATAACTCCTGAGTTTGAAGGGATATTTCGGCTGAGTATGAAAAGACAGCTATGGAATCGGTATACGATCTCGTTTTACAGGACGTACTCTGCAGGAAACTTGTGAACAGCTCGATTACACGTAATAGTTCCCTCTGTTTGGCTGTGAATATCTGTACTGAACATGATAGATGGACCACCTTTTAATTTACGGTGCAGATATCACGCCGCGCTCTACGTCGATCACGTGAATCGACCGCTAATGGAATGCTATTTGAATTAGTGACCAGAAGACCGCAAGTGATATCCTTCTATGGTTTAATTATTTATCCTCATACACTCCACTGAGTGCGCCACAACTGGTATAATGTACGAGTACAAACACCACCTGCTGCCGGTGTACAATGTGAGATTGTAAAGGAAATGAGAAGGGAAAATAACTAGTGCCACTTTCCAAAAGTTGTAATAATAGGCAGAACCGTATAGTTCCGATAGCCAGTTAGCGCACCAATTGCTCATGGTGCCCTCATTCCGTAAGAAGTTATAGGCAGAGTCGTAATTTCGGAACACGGGTATGCCAAGTTCCCTCGTAAAAGTGGCCCGTATGCCGTAATGGAAAATGAATCGTGACACTCTGAAAACCACTAAAGTCCATACACGAAATAATTCAATCTCAAGATATCACCCTTAACCCTAAAGGAATACTGTGCCTGAACATAAGATGATAGCGATGGATTCGGTATACGGTACCGCTTTCAGGGAGTGCTCTGCAAGAATCTTGTGGACAACTCCATCGCGGATAATAGTTCCTTCTGTAGTTTGTGAAGAAGTAAACTGTTGTACCCATCAAACTTCTGGATGAGACGGACTGATCAATTGAGATCACTGAGAAAGAAGGCGAAATAGGAAATGGTTTCTTCCCAAAAGCGATTAATCGTCGCTGTCTTCTCGACCTTAGCGAAAATATCTGTCCATACTCGAGTGTATGCTTTAAAATCGACTTATTCCAAAACACAGCTACAGAATATCACAGTATCATCTCGTAGATCCTGATCAATGGTGTATTCAATCCATAGCAGAAAAATAAACGAAAAACGCAAATTCACGCTTTTCTCATGAATTCAAAACTCCTTATGGAGTGGTCAATGGGCTATGTATATACCGTGGAAAACTTTATAGACAGTTCAGAACCAATCTTCGCTCTTTGCAGAATTCTTTTTTATGAATAATCATTCAAAGCGTTACCATTTCTCTTATGAAAAAAGTGTATTCACCTATTTATGAACAGTGCGCGCAGAAACTCAATACTCTGTTTCGGCGAGATTCCGAACTTTTACGGCGCGAATTCTACAATGCAATTGTTTGAATTACTTTCAGACATGTGATCAGCTTTTTAGTGTTGAGCAAGCTTTTGACGTTTTTTTTGGAACAAGTTCCTGTATATAGCTGTCCTAATTTTAGGGGGGACACCAATTCATGTACGATCGGAAATTAGTCACAATTTTTTCGGCACCTAATTACTGCGGAACTGACGGGAACGCAGCATCAGTACGTGACCGACAGGGAGGGCCGACTTATTGATTTTAATTATTACTCACTGATTTTTAAGGTTATGAGAGTGTCCCGTCGACTGGAAGTCTCCTTTGTTACGCTGAAACCTCGTCTCGACACCAATCGACTAACAGAGGAGAAACGTCTTCTACTTGAAAAGATGGCAGCAGATGCTATGGCGAAAAGCCCTGATCCATGTATGTAAGACTCGAGAAGTGTCCCGCATTAACTAACGATTTTCAACGTAAATCGATAACTCAGGGCAGAGTTCACGATTGAATTTTTCCGAGCCCTCCGGCTGAGATGAATCCGTGAACCCAAGAGCGTCGCGGTCAGGTCGGAAATCGGCCTTGAAAGAGTGCAATGGAGACATGAATATTGTGTCCTCTGCACGTCACGCATAATGGTGGCCGAGTTTCAAAGGCCGTGAAATGCAGCACCTTTCATGATACAGCAGTCTTGTTGAAAATCCAAAGGGGAACCATTTATTTGGTACAAAGATTGTTTTGTGCGTTAACGAATATTTATTATTTATTTATTAATATTTTATGTGCTCTACTTACTTATCTGTAATAGTATGATTCTGCTAAACAGCACCTTCCCTATTCCCCAATACCACTTCAATTCTTTATACTCGAAATCCCGTCAATGATTATGTAATGCTATGCTTATCCACAATTATTTAAGTATCTCATGCTTTCTTGGTTCTTTTCTTATTTTTACGCATTTTTACTTTGTGACTGTTCCTGGAAAATGTCAAGAACTCTTCCCACACTAGATATTTCTATTGCATACAGTCTCAACCTATGGTGGCGAGGAAGGTGTTTTTTGGATACTGTAGCCAACACTATGCAAGTGCACAGGGTGCATCTCTCCCAGATACCTCCTCTACACCAGTTTTGCCATCGTAATCGCCTCCAACTCTTGATTCTACGGCTTTTTAGCAGCCCTAAATTTTTTCAAAATTCGCCACTTCAATGCTTCATTCTTTGCATTACTCTGCACTATCACTGCCATGGTTTCACTCGAACTAGATATCTTGAAATTATCGTAAACTGCCTCGAATGATTGAACTGTGCCGCTCCCACAATAAAATGTACTGTTTGAAGGCAAAAAACTCGGAAAATACTGCAAGGCAATGTTAGCACAACAAGGAGTTTATACTTTAGGTGCTCGCCCTCCTCAAGAAAAAATGAGCAACATAAATGATGACTGCCTCATTGGTCCAGTTGCGACCACGGATCAGAAAGGTATTGAGCCAAATAAGTAGAAACAGTTTTTGCGGTGTGGTCCACGTGTCGGAGTCGAGATATTCATTTTCCTCTTTCCAGGACTAGAAATTCAACAGAGAAAGCCAGATGCGACTTTGATGGGACCACTTGATAGTTTCCAGTCAACATCAGCGACGCCGAAAGCACCACTTGCTACAAAAGATACACTAACTCCGACGCAAAGGATCATCGATGCTCCAACTGCTGAAAGTTCTAAAAACATCCCACCTTATAAGTCCACGGGTCTCGAAACGATAACTCCAAAAAAACGAGACACAACTCCAGCTCCTGCAGGGTTTCCTATGACACCGACGAAGAGGACTGCGCAAGCAAATGCCCCTGCTGCACCTCAAGGGAAAGACGTCCCAGATTTATCTAAGGCAAGCATCCCAAAATCAAGTACTTCATCACCTTTCCAAGCTAGGGGCCAAGTGACTTCGTCAATAGCAACAAAAAACGACAAAACTGCGTCTGGTACGACCTCTAAATCAGCATCGGGAACAACACTCCCAAAACGCCCAACTATCGCTCTTCTATACCCGTACAAATCTGGCGAAGATACTCAGGCAGGTAATAAAAAATCTTCAGCAGTGAAGCTCGCGACACCTATTTCCTCCAAAGCGGCTGTGGAACCTAATCAATCAAAGGACAGTTCAATAAACAAATCGAGCGCACCTGTGGCAGGCCATCAGGCTAACCCCGCCGAGCTAAGTCCCATTTGGCCCGATTCAGCGAAAAGCGGTGTAAAGATTCCAGAGCACTCCTCTAATTCTGCAAAAGCATCACCTTCAGCGAAAGCGAAAAGTGTAGAAGAGGCGACAAGGACAGCAATAGCGGCCTCGAGAACCCCTCCACAGCCTGATCCGATGAGTCAAAAGGAAATTATCGACGCAACGGAGAAAGCGCTCAAAAGTAACAATCCACTGGAGCAGAAAAAGTAGACCTTCATATGATATTTCCGATCTGTCAGTAATGCTTTTTGAGGGAATCCTTAGTCAAAATTAATAAAAGCGGTCTTTCAACAATGTCTCTTGTAGGAAGATCTCAAAGAGCTCTTCTACGTCTCGAAAACAATAAACAAGGAACACGTGCGACACAGACATTTTATATAGCTTTACTGATATGTTCCTTTACTTTGTTTCTGCGACCAAACTGAATACCACTTCCATTACTTTGATGCTTACATGCTTATTGAAGGAGAAGAAGCGCGTGCTCCATTTTATAGAGAGGTATCGGCTGCCTCTATACTTTGTCATTTGTCATCATTATGCTCATTCATCATCACCAGTTGGGCTATGCATGCTTATGCATGCATTGTATGCCTGCGGCAGCTCATCCTTAGGCTTAAACCTTCTGCAGGTACTTTATCAGGTGATATCGAATTTCCGTGCTAGCAAACAAGCAGGCGTTAGCGATTAATATATATTTTATTATTGAAACGGTTAGTTAACGCCTGGCTCCCTCCATCTTATGACAGAGTTGGATAATCAGCTAATCGGTCACCGCTCCTTTGCAACATCTGATACTTTTCCGAAAGCGAAATTTGGAGCAGGACTGACAGGGTGCAAATGGTATTCAACATATGCAAATGCTTGTACTTGTGATTAGAAGTTTCGATCAGTTACGCTTCATTTCATGAATTACCAACCAGAAAAGATTTGACTGTTGAGCAACCGGAGCCTTGAATGGCACCCAGAAATATTGTCGAGTGATGGTAACACCATTATCAGATGTCGTTATCAATGAAATTTCATGACTCTGAGGGTATATCATTAGTTTTAAATCCCAGATTATTTTCGGATGAGTTCCATCGCAAATGGTATCGACATAGAAGAAAATCCTGATTCCTCTTTAAACCGTGAATCTTGCTGGAAGCGGTCGTAATCTAACAAAAAAATTGAATTTAATTTTCATCTCCTTATAATGTAGTGCCTTTGATCGATCGTTATCACGGCATTTACTCTAAACATATCAATAAATAAACGCATGAATAATGAACTTTTAGTAGATTTTGAAAATAATGTAAGCGTAATTACCCCGTGAATAAATCGTCACTTTGCATTTACAGGCACTTTTGGCAC